ATGCCGTTTCGTAGAAGTTATGTTTATATTTATTCACATATTATCTGCCATATGATTTTATAGAAGTAGAACTTCTTACTTCGGTACCCAAGCACCAACTGTCCACTGGTTTTTTTATCACTTCTTACCTCATCAAAGTAAGGGATTAGTTTGCGTACGTTTAAGTTAATCTATTAATGAATATCTAATAGCAATACGCCGTGCCACCGTGTCTTTAAAGATAACCAAAATCTTATAAAATGAGCAGCAGTTTACTCGTTAGGTGTTGTGGCGTGACACTGAGATCAGTTCGTACTTGGTCATTAACCAAGATGCAACCACCACACACACACACACACACACGCGTCATATTCAAACTTTTCCACGCTTACTTTATCGACTGAATCACTACTATTCTTTTTACAACTTTTATTTCTTATTTTATTTCTCGTTTCATTTGGTCTGAATCCTTATCCTAGAAGTTTCAAGTGTTTGTATCACCATAATAATTTTGTGCTTCAATTCAATAAATGAATCTTAAGAATGTTGACATTTTGAACTGATACATTTTTTAGCTAATTTTCGCGATGGATAGTTGTGACTGATCAATCGCCAGTGCCAGTTTCAAGCATAATCAAATTTATGTAGATTACAAAATTAAAATCACGGTAATGGTACAGTGTAGATTATCTGATTTCCAAAAATTTTCAGCTAAGAAGTTTTCGACTTAGCTTTCCACAGCTATGAGCCAAGTGTCGCATATTTTATTTAGTAACGATGTTAATGCTGCTTTTGTAAACTTTCAGTAGATTGATGTCGATTTTTTGTAGGCCTCCAGTGCCGTGGTTTATGAAGGATCTTAAAAATCGGTGTAAAATTCGTCATTGCTTGTCTAAAAGAACAACGTACATGAACAGCATACATTTTTATGAAAGTATAGATTATTGAGAAAGAATATTAAGGGGGACACCAGACCTGTTCGGAAGAGATCTCTCTAGCAGACGTTATGAAGGTCTTGCGTCTCCACAATCTTAATTGCGTACTCTGCGCCACTTTGGTTTGGAATCGGCGGGCCTTCCCAATTTGCTGAGTGAATTCTATTTATCCGTCTCATGTAACCATACTTTACATCTTGATCTATGTATAATATCGATCGGATTGTAACTGACACTTTTTGTGAGTGTTTCTCATTACGTCCGTTAACAAACATATAGATGCACTAAGCTGCACTGCATTTTAAAAGCAAGAAATTTGAATCACGATAGTTTATTGCTATATTGTTTTAAAACAGCTCTTTTGCGAATATTTGATGGTATTTGTAAGGGTACGGCTAAAGGTATGATAACTCTTTTATTTCCTTTGATTTAAAAAAACTATTTCGACAAATTGGATCATATTAATATCTTTTTGCATAAAACTTTAAACCGGGACGGCTAAGCGTGGCCTTTATATTATTATTATGTTTATCGTATCCTCCTCTGATCTTTTCAGTGTATCCATTCTATTTTTTTGTATTCCTAACTTCTATTAGAGACCTTTTGCAATTAATTGTCTTCTGATTATCTCTTGCTTGATTCACTTTCTTTGTTTTTTTTTTCCTTTGCTGCTGCCTAGCTTTTTTGAGAATTTGACTGAGAGCTCTACGTAGTACAAACGTCATCATACCTACTATATCTTCCATATCTCCCTAACACCTTTAATTCTAGTAAAAAAATTTCTTTAACTACCACGTGGAGTATTACTACTACAATTTTTTTTTATTTGATTTTTTTTTTACAAAGCTGTCTAGAATTCAATGATGCATAATAACAGCATGCACAGTCCCTCTCTTGTGCGGAACTCAAATTCTGTTTTTTTTCAGTACATCCATTCTATTTATTTGTATTTCGCGTGTGTATCTTAGCTCATGTTGCTTCTCCTATCTTGGATCTGCAATACATTTTGTTCACGACAGTTATTCTTGACTCTAGCTCTACTGATCTACAAACGAAACGTTAGGCTTCTTTATTGCAGACTTTCTTCTGATAGTTACTGCTACTGCATCGAAAAACGAACCTTAACTAGTCTTCCATACTATACTTAAGGGCTTTATGCCAGCACTCTAAGCATCTATAGAATCTGAGGGCTTCGACGCGTTTTTTCATACGACAGCTAGTAAACTCTTCCTTAACGTTCCCTATTGCTTTTATTTTATGGGTATTGATCTCTTCAGTGCTTACTAGAGCTCCCTTTTACTTTCTTAAATTGGCTGATAGTATCGGCACTGCTTCCCTCTGTAATGAGTACTCATTAACCTTGCACAGGTCCAGTGAAATATCTTCTTCTTTTTCCGTTAGTAAATCTAGGTCCTGTATCTAAAGTGTAATTTTTTTTCTTCCTTCGCCCCTTTAATACCTTCCAAAGTCTTCGTCAGGTTATTGATGAAAACTCATTCATCCTCGACGCCTCCAAGCTTTAGAAAATCTTCTTTCTTAAATGCATTAACTCTTTTTACAATGATTACCGCTTCCTTGGCTTAATATTGCATCTCATTTTTTTGATGACTATTGTGAAACATTATCCTTTCGTGACCTTTACAAATTTTTTTTTTTTCTGGTGTGTCTTTACTTGTTGCTCTTACTTTTATCAAAGATGATCTTAGAAATCTGGTGCTGGTCCTCCCTGACTTTCTTTTTTTTTTTTTTTCAATTAGATTAATTGAATGCCTTGTTTAGTACTTCAAGACTCATATATCACTTACACACCAGCAGAATTTTCATATGAACTTTAAAATTTGTTTTTATCAGGATATCACTGACTTGCTTAGAGACATGCTTACTTTTTTTTGTTGCTTAATAACTGTATTTTAGATGAGTAAGTAGTTTTTTTAGCACCTTGATACTTTCTTTAATAGGCATCGTCGTTTTTGGGACTAAGTTGACGTTACCGCTTTTATCATATCTTGGATCTTGTAGAGTTTAACAAAATTAGAATCCTCTTTTAAAATCTAAAAAGTAGCTCCATATGCATCCTGCTTGCATTTTTAAGATGTTCTCAGTATAACTGCTGAAAATTCTAATTGCACGAACATCACTCACTCTACTCCAAATACTTAAAAATCTACGACGCCATACGTGAATGCGCTTTTTTTCTGGACTTACTCCACCCAGGTATTTTTTATTTAAAGTTGTCTCCTCTAGCCTTCTGGTAGCAGTGTCAATGAAAAACCCAGTCCAGAGTTGCCTCTGTGTAATTGCACGATGGCCACACCTGTTCTTTTGCTAGCACTATCACTGGTGCTTAGGGATTCGATATTTCCTGAACGAAAAGATCCAAGTACTGATTCTCTTTATGTTAAGTTTTATTTTCAAAGATCCCACGATTAGCTAGTTTTTTTGGTCCACCCCATGTATTCAAATTGCTTAGGGCCCCTCACATCTGAAAAGCATAGTTCTACCCATAGGTGAGTTGGCTTTCGATAGAGAAACTAACAAATCCTGATGGGGGATTTATGATATTACTATAAACATTATTATTATTATTTTTTTTTATTATTACTTTTATCATTATCACTATTGTTATAAGTATTATTATCATTATTATTATTATTATTATTATCATTATTATTATTGTTATTATTATTTATTAAAAGCAGCCTGTTAGGGTGGGCGGCTTTGAACTGAGAGGGGGAGTGAGGAGTGATCAGTGTCGTTTTCCGGAGAGTCAAGACATCCCTTTAAACCAAATAGCGATGGTGGTATCACACCCGAAGCCGTGGGAGTGGTAGTTTCGCTGGTCCCGTCGAAGTCTGGATCGCTGTAGGTGTGTTGCGGTTGTGCAGTAATTCCTTAAGACCTGGAAGGTCTAGCCACCAGGGTGATTGGTGTATAGATATGTCTTTTATAATTTTTTTTTTTTTTTACAAAGTTTTCATATCTATGTTTGTATTATAACCCATCTACCCTTACCGGGGTCGTTTTGCTTCGTCTCGATGATCGTTCCGATGCTGAGATGCTTCAGGATCCTAGAGTGGAAGCAACACCTGGACCATACTGCGTACGAGGGGCTTCAGCCCTTCTATCAGCTCTGGGCTAGGGGGTATAGGGGGGTGGCCCTGGGGGAGTAAAAGCGCTTGGATTGATAGGGGTGGTCCTGATCCTTTGGGTGGGACCGGGGGGATGTGAGTAGGTAGCCTTGAAGCAGTTCTCCAGGAATTAAATGACTACGTCCCAGGTAGGCTTCTTCAGAAGGAACTCTAGAGAGGCGATTACAACGTATCCCTGTGAAAGGCAGTCGTCAATGCGCTGAGCCAGGGTCAATTTCCTGCACTCTTGGTTGGGCGGTGGAGAGGTCATGAGCACCGGGGACAGACTATAGATGTGAGGAGCAGTGGAGAGTAGAGAAGGAAAGAAATGAGGCAAGAGTTTAGATACAGTGATATTTATTTAATTTGTACGATTTTCTACTACTGCTTTTTATGACTAACAGTAAGTAGAATGAGATACATGCATCATACGTATTTGTATGATCTTTAAGCGACCTCATTTGGTCATTGCGTAGCTCTTCTTATATACTATTAACTATATTTTTACTTGTGATGTTCGCCAGAAACTAGCAGTTGCCACCTAGCGAGTGGTAGCTAGTACTACTAAGCCCAAAGTTTGAAGTTGGAGCTGCGCGCGATATTTAAAAAATCAAATTTATGTAAAACGATTGAATGAAAAAAAAATTATTTTAATGAATAATAATAAATAAAATAATACCCCAGATGGTAACATTATTATTTTTATTATTATTATCATTATTATTATTATTCTTGTTGTTGTTATCCTTACAATAGTTTTGTTTGCAGTTAATTTTATTTAACAAAATAATCGTTATTTTCATCATTATCATAGTATTTATTATTGTTAATGTTATTCTGTATGTTATTGTTATTAATCAAAGTTCCTCTATAATAATATGATTACATAACTCTTACAATGTACTTAATTTTAAACTAATAAGAATTTAGTTTGCTCACAATTTCAATTAATTTTCAGTTTATTGAGTCAAAAGAAGCTTCATAAATTCGAATTGGCTTCCATTGCCAATTTATGTCCGGAAACTCCAGAGGAAGCTAAGGCATTGATACCAAGTTTGGAAGGCCGATTAGAAGATGAAGAACTAAGAACTATACTAGATGACATTCAAACTAAAAGATCGCTACAGTACTAAAATATTTTGTAATAAATAAGAAATTTATAAAGCTAATGCTTCAATTAAGCGTCATAAAACTAAGACTGCACAAAATATTTACTGATCCACTAAATACCTCAATCATAATAACTTAATTTATTTGAAACCTTAGGTAAAATTGATGCATTGTTATTGTGAGGGATGAACTTAGCAAGTATACTGAGCTGCACTTCTGTGTTGCTGTATTTTTTAAATATTATATATACAACTATTTGAATGTATACTGGCACAGTCTGTGTTCACAGCTTAAGCTAAATACGGCAGTATAACATCTTTTCAATCTGTCAAGTGATAACATTACCTATACTACTACATAGTTAGTAATTCAACTTTATTCGCTTGAATAATTTAAACGACTTCTGCCTTTTTTGTAAACATATATTACAAATATAGTTTTATAGCCTCCTTATTTAAAATTTGACTAGTTTTTAACTGGCTCTTTTCAGGCTTATAACTTAAAAATTCTTCAATGTTGATAAAGAAATGAGTTCTAGCAATATTTAAAATCTTACTGTTTAGGATTAAAAGTAAATTCAAATTTTTTCTTTCAAAAAATAACATGAGATAACAACAGCCAATGACCATAATCTTCAAAAACAAAAATAATTTGGTTATAAAAAAATTATAACTGTAATAATCTGAGTTACTGACGCTCTTTTTTTATAACTTTTATTATAAGTAAGCAAATAAAAATTGATGAAAAATTGTCAATCAAAGTCATGTTGTATTTTAGGGATATTGTTACGTCCGCACTTTTAAGTAACGGGTGGAACTCGTAGACTCGTTCTAAAAACAAACAAATTTACTTTTTGTTCGTCAGAAATCAGCCGTCGGCCAAAAGGCCTTATTTGCTTTTACTAAAAATTTTTAGACCATTAACTCGGAGTTGTAGTGTGAGGTGTTACAAAAGGTATGTATGAAGTGGTGTTAGTGTGTCCTACACTGAGCTGCCGCTGACCTACTGTTTGAATTTATATCTTATGTTTAATTAAGCGTACTCTTTTCATCTCTTCATCTCACGATATCTATTTAACTTTTGCTTGATATTTAATTTATTCATTAACGCTACAATTTTATTTCTATCGACTGGAATTTTGAATCTTGAAATACTTAAATTAAGAAAATAAATTTAATTAACAACTTAGTTATGTCTTATCTGATGATCTTATAAGTTTGGTAAAGCCGAAAATAATCGATTTTTACAAATAACATAAATTATAAAAATCAAGTTTGCATTTACAGAGCTTTAACAATTAATAGTTTTTCTAAACTTAACTTACTTCTATGATCGTTGGTTAGCCACTTCTTGCGCATATGCAGTCGCAAGATCTTACAAGGTTAACTGCAACAATGATTCTAGTCCTACACGAGAGTACTCGTGACGATGATGATAATTAGATTGCTGCTTTTAACGTCAGAACCCAAGTCGACGGTCCTTTCTTCCTTATTCTTCTTTGATTCACTTTTTAGGCGAGTCTGCAGTGGCCTGGTTTGCTCTAGCTTTTTTCACACAGCTTAGTCACCGAACTAAGTCTTACATTTGCTTGAAATGCATGCTTCAAACACGTAGCCTAATCACCGAACTAAGTCTTACATTCGCTTTAAAAAAGCAACAGAACTTACTCTCCAACCTTCATGGTTACTTTAAAACACTTGATAAAAGAAACAAGGCGAATATTGCTATATGCGAAGAGTTTTTGTACTCTTGCATTTAAGAATGTCGTGGTGTAATAATTATACAGTAATGGATGCTTAAAACTGCTGATATCTCGGATTTTGCATTAAGTACAAGTTATTAAAAATGTGTACGATATGTCTTGTGGATATACGCAATAAAGAATGTTGAAATTGTTGATTGTTCACATTCTTGGATGTAGTAGTGCAAATTGATGTAAGATGAGCGCTCTGTAATTATTGTTTTGAGATTGCACTCGTAGTTTGAGTTTTGCGATTGCAGAAGCAGGTATACAGTGTTTAGCCGAACGCGACTAAATAGAGTACCGCCACATGAGTGGAGGAGGATTGAAGCTTACAGCACGTATGTTCTTAACAACTCTTTAAAATTGCGCTGAAATTTATTTACTTTTTTTTTTTTACCGGGTTACCGTGACAGTTCTTAGGCCAAGTCGCCGGGGCCACCCACTCACCACTTATGTGTAGGGGTGTATTGCCACACCCATTTCGACCCCTAGAACAGTGTTGTATCAGTAACAAACACGCTTACCACTGAGCTAACGCCGCTCCTAAATTTATTTACTTCTCACACACTCGTTACGTACGTTTCTTCTTTTGTTGTAGAGTCTCGTTCTCTCTGCTCTTTCAAAACCGACTTCTTAGTCTGTCTCGCCCATCTTCGGTATTGTTTGGGTCCTGACGCCCAATTGACATTCGAGACGAACAACACGACCTCTAATTGGCGCACATCATTAGATAGGAGAATGGAGATATTAAAGGTACCGCCGCTGAGAAAATTTAGTGGGTCATGTCCAGTCTGATACTTGCCTCTGTAAAGAGCTATCTCCAGTTGTTTCTGATAAATCGTGTACGCAGCTTGTCTTGGATGGTTTTTGTTCGTTTGAGTTTTTGAGAAGTTTTTATTGCGTTGTGATGCGTTAACATAATTTTCCATAAATTCGTCTTTTTTTTCGTCCGCATTTTGAACAAAAGCCGCGTACCACGTCGACACTCACATGCTGTTAGCCCTAACGGCGAACGTTCGCACTCGTAGAACCGTAGTACGGAGACGAAAAGGAGAACAGTGCGGACGCACACGTACACTCCCACGCTTACACATTTACACCTCCACATTTGCGCACTGATTGAAACAACGTCGTTATTTTTATTATATTTAATTTTGTATTGGTTATTTTTTTCCTCTCAAGGGGTTTTCTCGCAAGAGTTACCTCCTTTGAGCCACAAATTATATCTTCATCAGAGTCTTATGAAGAGTGTTTTTTGTCTAAGCATACATTATATTTATGACTACTTCCATAGAGATAGTGTTAGACCATACATTAAATTTCAAAAATGAAAAATCAAAGAAACAGAAATATTCAACAAAATAAGTAGTTTTGTTGATGCTAGATACGGTGGTCCAATAAAAGCAACTTATTATCTGTAGTTTTATGAAGTTACAAAAGTTAGAATAATATATTTCTTCAAGCTAGAAGATAAAAGTTAGTAAATTAAAAATATTGTTTGAAACGAAATTAAAAAAAAAAAAAATTGTTATTAAACTAATAATTCTAATATATTCATATAGACATGACTTCTCAGATTTACCTACTTAAACGTTATTATCTTAACCATTATTCTTTTATTCAATAATAATACATAACATGATGTATTCTTATTCTATGCTAAAAATTTTTTGTTAGAAAAAATTTGCTCTGAAACATTATAAGACGCCTATGGTTACTTAAATTTTTTGAACAAAATTGAGTTTTAATATAATATAATAGCCTTGTAGAAGTGGACTCAGCTTGGTTGTAAACGTGCTTGTTACTGATACAACGTCGCTTTGGGATCGTGAATTCTATTCCTGGTCAATGCAGATTTTTTTATAAAACTATGAGCACCGGAAAAAGTTCCCATGCAACCTCCGTTGTTTTTGGGGTGGGTTTTTTCTTAGATTTTTTTTTTCAGACTATTTCCAGGGTTTTTTCTTTGCCCTAAAGGTCTTCGGGATAGGGTAAATACGAAACAGTGTTAAGGATGTAGGTAGTGATCAGCGGATCCGATGCCAAATGCTGGACTGGATCACCGGCCTTACTGGTGAAAAGTAGTCCCTAAAATATGAGGCTTCTTCAGGGATGCTAATTAGCCTTGACCCACTGCTTTTGTCTGGCTTAACCAGCGAGAAGTGAACGTCCTGAAATATGGAGTCTTCTTTGAGGAAATTGAGAAAAAGCTACACAGTGAAGAGTGGCCCCGAAGCACCATTGGTCCAGAGAGTTTCAGTTTAACCAGCACGGTGTATCACTGGAGATATTGCCACTGTGCCCACTGAATAACAAAGACATGATATTAATTAAGAAAATTGGATCGCTTTTACGGGGAAGTGAAGGGGAGCACGTCTATGTGCATAAAGCGCCGTGATAAAGTCTGCTGTACTAATCAAGTCTAAAATTGTCTGCCCTCTTGATTACGAAAAATGCAAATGCAAAAATAAATCTAAAGTAACTATACCGTGAAATGATGGCAGTATATTAAGATTTGAAAATCACAAGAATAATAATATAGTGCCATTTATTATTTACGGAGATTTTGAGTGCATGTTAAAATCAGTGCAAAATAATGAACGTGCTGTACAACATCATAATCCTCTAAGAATAGGATCTTATGTAAAGAGTAGTTTTGATGGTACTAAATCAAGATATATGTGTTATAAATAAACATGTAAAGATAACGAAGATTCGGCTACATGGTTTGTAAAAAAAATAATCGATATTGCCTTAGAACTACAAAGCCTATATGACAATCCAGTACCTATGAAACCACTAAATGATAAAGGAAGATTTTGACTTTTTTAATGCTGATAGATGCCACAAATGTGAAAAAGCAATTAAGAATATGGACAAAGTTCATGACCATTGTCATTCAAGTGGAGAGTAAGAATTACATATTTTCCTTTAAAGATTAAACTTTGTTACTAACTTATTACTTTTTTACTTTTAAAATTTACTTTTTCTCTTCAGATACAGAGGACCTGCTCATAACGATTGCAATCTAAAATATCGAGACTCCCAATCGATACCAATAGTTTTTCATAATTTCAGTGATGCACATTTATTCATAAAAGAACTAGTCAGTTGTTTTCCAGATCGAGTATACGTCATACCTCAAACAAAAGAAAAGTGTATTTCTTTTATAAAATACGTTGAAGGAGCAAGGTTCAACTTATACTTTATTGACTAGTTCTAATTCTAACCAACATCTCTAGAAAAGTGAGCATCTCACTTGGAGCAGCATATTAATTTAGAAAATGTTTTTAATCAAGATGATTTCTACTCTGTAGAACAA